GACCCTGTCACACACAGAGCCACAGGGCAATCAGGGGGTTGGGGAGCTCCCCCCTATCAGGCACAGAGCAGGGTGATCAGGGAGTTGGGGCGCCTTCCCCTGTCACGAACAGAGCAGGGCGGATAGGGAGGTTGTGGCCCCGCCCCTGTCACACACAGAGTCGCAGGGTGATCAGGGGGCTTGGTCGCTGCCCCCTGTCACGCTGATCCTGGTGCCGGGAGCCTCACTGCTCCGCTGATCCCGGTGCTGGGAGGCATATTACCCTTTTACTAATAGGATAGAGGCCTGGTGCACGGGTGGGGGCCGGCTGGTTTGCCCTGAAGGGTGTCCTGGATCAGGGTGGGGGGTCCCCACTGGGGTGCCTGGCCAGCTTGGATGAGGGGCTGAGGGCCGTTTTCAGGCTGGCGGGTGACTGAAGCTCCCAACCTGTCCTTTTTTCCTTTTTTTTTTTATTCTAGGCCAGCTTTAGCTCTGAGGCCTCGGCTGTATTTGAAACAATGTTGCAGTCCGGCTGGCTGAAGCATGGCTGATTGAAAGCAGGTTTCTGGGGTTTTGTTTAGCTTCTATATTTGTTACAATGTTTCTTAGAGAGCAGCTGAGAGGCCGTCAGCAGGCGGGGAACCTGGCTTCCTCAGTCACTGGAGCAAGCAAGCCTCCCTGTTCGCGTCAGCTGCCTGGCTGCCGGCCGCCATCTTGGTTGGCAGTTAATTTGCATATCTCAGTGATTAGCCAATGGGAAGGGTAGCGGCCATACGGCTAATTACCATGTTTCTCTTTTATTTGATAGGATTATTATAGATCATCTGGGAAGAAGGAAAAGTGTGTTAACATTGTATCTCTCTCTCGGTCTTCTTCTTTCTCTAAAATCAGTAAATTAAAAAAGTAAAATAAAAATACAATGATAAAAAAATAACCCAGCCCTAGCTTGTTTGGCTCAGTGGATAGAGCATCAGCCTGCAGACTGAAGGGTCTCAGGTTCGGTTACAGTCAAGGGTACATACCCAGGGTTGCAGGCTCGATCCCCAGTAGGGTGCGAGCAGGAGGCAGCCAATCAATGATTCTCTCTCATCATTGATGTTTCTATCTCTCCCTCCCTCTCCCTTCCTCTTTGAAATCAATAAAAATATATTTAAAAAATAACCCAGAAGAAGGCAAGAAAGGAGGGAAAGGTATATATAGCAGTAGAACAAATAGAAAAAATATGATAAATATATCTATTAAATATAAATGGATAAAAGATTGTCCGGTAGGATTTAAATTTTTTAAAATTTTTTATTTGTTGGTTTTAGAGAGAGAGAAACAGCAGTTTGTTGTTCCACTTATTTATGCATTGATTGGTTGATTCTTACATGTGACCTGAGGGATCAAACCCACAACCTTGTGGTATCGGGATGATGCTCTAACCAACTGAGCTACCCAGCTGGGGCTTTAAAAGAAAAAACTTTATGATGTTTAATAAGAGACAGATTTAAAGCATAATGATACAGAAAGTTGGCAAATAAAAGAAGAATAAATGTATAAATCAAACACTACCCAAAGAAAAGCTATTGCAGGCAGATTAGGATTACATGAAATAGACTCTAAAACAAAAATAAATTTTAAGTTTGTATGAAATTAATAACATGGCTTCATAATATATAAAGCAAAAATTAAAAGAAATACAATTTGCCCAGCCAGCATGGTTCAGTGGTTGAGCATCAACCTATGAACCAGGAGGTCC